AAGTTCAGCAACAGAAAATATTTATAAATTATACATTGATATGGAACTTTATCTAGACTATAAGATAGTTAAAGAACTCTCATGGCTCAATAAAGAGAAAACCCAAGTGAAAAAAATCAGCAAAGGATCTGAATAGACATTTCTCCAAAAAAGATATACAAATGGCCAAATAAACACATGAAAAGATGCTCAACATCATTAGTCATTATGGAAAAGTAAATCAAAACTATGATGAGATACCACTTCACTCCATCTAGGATGACTACAGTTAAAAAGATATAAATAACAAGAGTAGGTCAGATAGAGAAAAATTAGAACCCTTCTATGTTGCCGAAGAATGTGAGATTCTGCAGCTCCTTTGGAAAACACTCCAGCAGTTCCTATGGACTGCTTAAGATTAAACGTGAGGTTGTCATATGACCTAGCAATTTGACTCCTAGTTACATACCCATGAGAAATAAAAACGTGTGTCCACACAAAAATGTGTACATGAATGTTCATAGCAGCGTTATTCATAATAACCAAAAAGTGGAAACAATCCAAATGGACAATCAACTGATGAGTGGCTAAACAAAATGTGATATATCTATCCAATAGACTATTACCAACAGCGAAAATAAATGAAGTACTGATACATGCTACAACATGGACTTTGAATACATTACGCTAAGTGAAAGAAGCCAGTCACAAAAAACTTCTTTATTAAACAATAGAAATTTATTTCTCCCAGTTCCAGAGGCTGGGAAGTTGAAGATCAAAGTGCCGACCACTTTGGTTCCTTATAGACAGCTGCTTTCTCTCTGTGTTCTCCGATGGTGGAGAGAGAAGAGAGCTCTGATTGCATTTATGTAAAATGTCCACAATAGGCAAATCTATAGAGATAGAAAGTAGAGACTGTGAGAGTGGGCAGTGACTAACTACTAAAGGGTATAGTTTTTTTTTGGTGGAGTGGGGTAGGGCTGATGAAAATGTTCTAATATTGATTATAGTGGTGATTGCACAACTTTGTGAATCTACTAAAAACCATTGACTTTTACACTTTAAATAGGTGGATTTTTTGGCATGTTAACAATGTTTCAGTAAAGCTATTATAAAAAACTTATTCATTCATCTATTCACTCAGTATGTATCCTGTGCAAAATACAATTTGCATGTCCTGTAGAAAAATCATTGTAAAATCCCCAAAGTAGAAATCATTATCCTCTCTCATACACCATAACTTTTGTTTTGGTGAATATTAGTGCAATTTACCTTGTCAATATAGCTTAAGCTAAAAGTCTTTATTCACTTTCTCCCTCTCTCTTCTCCATAATCTGTTTATTCTGTCTCTTAAACCATAATTTGAAACCTTTCCTCTTTAAATTCTCACATCCAGTGCTTTAATTTGAACCTTCCTTATCTTTTACCTGGACTATTGTATTAACCTCCTAATTGACCTCTTCTCTTCCATAAATAAGCATCTAGTGGTAAATAGTATTACCTTTCCAAAACACAGGCCAAATCATGTAGCTCTTATGCTTGAAGACCTTTGAACTACCCCTCCCCCAGTCTATTATCTAATAATTAGTCAAATCTGAATTCTTTTATGTGGGATACAAGACTTTAGAATACTTTCCTTGTCTCAGATTATCCCCTACCTCAGCCCACCTTTTAACCCTTATCCAGCCCTGTAGCCTATTAACTCTTCAATCATTCATATAAACTTAGATCTTTCAGACTTTGTGGGTGCCCTTCTCTTAGAATGCTCTTCTCATCTGATACATGAAAAGCCTTATAAACAAAATTTTCAAGTCTTTTGTGTATCCATAGCAATTTGTCTATAATATAGAGCTCATCATACTGTATTATATATATATTTTTTGTTTACATATCTGGGCTCTGAACTCTTTGAGGGCATGCATCTTAATTTATCTTGTATTCTTATTGCCTTACTTTTATATTTGGCCCATAGTAAGTCTTCTTGACTGTGTTTTGTCATAGTCTATTTCCCTTTTAGTTTTAATATTTATTGACAGGGTGTTACTTAAATTTAAAATCTGTTTCAATTATGTCATAAAGATTAAGAACAGAGGCTCTAGAATCAAACAGCTCCATCTTTTTCCAGCTGTTGGGTTTGGACAAAGTACTTAACCTCATGAAGCTGCCATTTTTACATCTGAAAAATAAAGAAAATAATAATACTTACATTATTAAGATGTGAGGATTAAATCATGTAAAGCACTTAATATAATGCCTGATACAATATGCTTGCCTAGTATGCATGTTTTCTTAGCTGTTGTTATTTCTATTAATTTTTTGTCACTCATAGATATTGATTGCGTGTTTCACTATTTGCCAGATATAGTGGTAGGTACCAGAACAAGATAGCTATGATCCCTATACTCATGAAGTGATACCTCAGTTTGTACTAGCTATTACAAAATTTATTTTAACAATTGCTCTAAGTGCTGGTGAAGATTTACTGTTCCAATTAAATTGTAGTTTCTCCATGCTTTTAAAACTTGTACATATTTATTGAAATAACTTTATTAAGTAGTTTCATTAATTGCATATATCTGAAATAGAAAAGCAATAGTGCACTGTGCTGTAAAGTATGAGATAAGAGCTCATTAAGCTCTTATCTAAAACAATGAAGATGTGAGTCCTAGAAATTTGCTACTGACTTTGTGTTTCGGTGACCCAATAAAGGATACACAGTTTTTTTGATGTCTATCTTTTAGTAATTTGGTTTTAGTATCAAGACATAAATAGTATTTTAGTATAACTTTAGTATAAAGAAATTTTAAAAGCATTCCAAGAGGAGTTAAATCTAGTATGGCCTTTCGTTTATAATGCAGTATCTCTATTACAGAGAGGAGTTAAATCTAGTATGGCCTTACTGTATTTAAATGCAGTATCTCTGTTACAAGGACATTCATGGTTGTAACAGAGATACTGCATTTAAATGTTACATGATAGGAAGGTGGACTCTTAAAGAATGGATAATAAGAGGAAAATACCTTTTAAATGATTTTTTAATTGTTTCTGTGAAACTGAGGAAAAGAGTAAGTTGCTAATTGACTATCATTTTATCCTTCCATTCTTACTGCAGTTTACTAGATGAAACTCAGTTTTTCAAACATATGTAAAACACAAGTAAATTGATGAACATGTATTGTATACATTGTGAATTATTGTTCCCATTGAACCTATTCTTGCTCTTTGACAAAGCATAGAGAATGAGAGAACAATGTGATAACCTAGATGCAATAGAACAGTATGGAATTATTAATTAAAATAAGTCTGGATTGTGTTTACATTTTAAATCAGTCAGCAGACAGATTCTTTTTTTAAAGTTTATTTTATTAGTTTCAAGTATATAGTACATTGGTTAGACATTTATATAGTTTATAAAACAATCTCCCTAAATGCTCTTTCTCTTTTTGAATGTTGAGATGTATTTCTCATCATTCTACCAAATCTTGCCCATCTAGCTTTTATTCTGTGACTTCCTCAAACTTTTTCAGTTTCCCTTCATTGTCTCATATTCCGTTTACTATTTAACGTATTATAGACTGGCTCTTGCCCCTTTCACTCACTAGTGACCTCCTTGTCAGTCTTCCATCTGTGTTTGTAGTTCCATGTATTTTCCATCAACTCATGCATGGTTCCCCAGTGTATTTCTGGAGCTCAGCTTTTTGTCTCAGTACCAGGCTTGAAATTACACTATCTACTGAATTCAACTGGTTACCCTCAAACTCAACATTCTGATGTTCATTAGCATCTATAAAACCTACTATATTCTCTTATTTCGGTACAGCTTTTCATTTAATTGTACCAATTTCTAGTCAAAAACATATCTTTAGTATTTTGCAGATTTATCCTATTTTTTAAGATTACTTAAGATTAAAATACTTAAGATTCAAACCCTTATTCTCTCTCTTGAGATATTGTAACTATCTACAGAGTGACATTTCTTGCCTCCTGAAGTGACCTTTCCATAGTCTCTCCTCCTTCTTGCCACCACACTGATGTTCTAACCTGCAATGTTTTAAGTGTGTTTTTCCTTATCTTAATATCTTTTAGGTGTTTCTCATTACCTAGCAATAATTTTCAAATATTCATCCATGACCCATATACTTTTGGATCATTTAAAGAACTTTTTAAAAGCTCATACCCTATATCTTCCCCCATGGATTCTGAATCAATACAGAGTTTAGGAATCCTCAAAAAGTATCCCCGATGATTTTAATAAGCAGCCAAAGTTGGAAAACAGTAACCTATCTGTGTGGTTCAGATTACTTATCCAGGATCTGATGCCTGCCTGCTTCTCTCACACCATCTCATTCTGTCTTCTTTCCCTTTAATGACTGTGCTCTCGCCAGACACCCTTTACTGGCTCTGGAACCCACCAGTCTTGATTGTCTTTTAAGTCCTTTGTTTGCTTTTGTTGAATTAGGGACAAGACCCTCAATTTCTACCTGTTCCACCTCTGCTTTTTTCTGCACCCTCGGCAGCAGCACCTCCTTAGATTTCACATGTGGAATTCAGGTTGAAAACCACGGAGCTAATTGAGATCAATGAGGTCCAGAAAGATTAAGTAACTCACTGAAGTCTTATGGTGAATGGCAGACCATATCTAAAATGCAGGATTTATATGCCTAACATAGTTCTTATTTATTGCTGTTCTTTGCTTTCATATGTATAATGTCTGGGCATGTTGATCTGAAATGACCTGTTAATTCTTTCCTTCCTAAATAAATTATTATTCATTTGTTCCTTCATTCACGTGTGTATTTATTTCATTCAATAAACATTTGTTTGACTATACAAGGAGCAGTGTAGGATTTGGAGAGGAAGTGGATAGATAATTTGAATAATACAAATTTCCTATTCTTAAGGTTCTTAAGACAGGTCCTTTATATTCAATCATAAAACATTACATAGAAAAACAAATTATCAATTTTTTAGATGAGAAACCATAATATAACCTTTTCCACTGTTTTCTTTCTTTTATCCAGGGAAAGACCATGTCTGTAAATTTATTGGCTGTGGGAGGAATGACCGATTCAACTATGTGGTCATGCAGTTGCAGGTAAGTTACCTTGAAAATGTATCTTAGAATCTTTGTTTTGATCAAAGTACCTAATTCCAGTGGATATGAATGAAGATAATAACATTCTTGATATCATCTCAGAATGTTTTATACTATGTAGATGAAACTTTATTTAAACAGACTCGATATACATTTTTCCAAAGATGGAAGGGCTGCTCTTGTCAGTTATTTTAGATGATCCATATCTTCACCGATTGTCACCATTCCAAAGTTTTAATTCTCACATGGATTGCTAGATATAATGTTAGTTTTATAGTGACCCTGTCTCTTCCCTTTCTACCCTTTATTACCTTAAGGACTCTAGTTTTCCATTAGCTCGAGCACCAACCTTTCCTGCTTGAAAATTTAAACATTAGTTGAGATAGAGGAGAAATGCCATTCCTCTTTCTCTTCATCCATTAGCATTGCTCTGTTCCCTGTTCTTTAGATGGAAAGTGGAGTTGGGTTGGGGCAGCAAAGAGAGAAATTCAGAAAGGGAATATTGGATTGATGACTGCAGCAGGGAGAAGAGAGAAACTATCCCATTCTCTCTGACACTACCTCTGACCCCAGACACACACACACCACCACCACCACAACCACCACCCTGAACTGCAGTCACCCTCAAAAGTGTAAAAGCCATGGTATACCTTGGTGGCTCATTTGAGTTCTCAGAGTTTTCTTTCATCTTTAGCAAAATTTGTTTGGGATATTTGGTTCTTTTATTCTTTTTCAACCTAACTACATAGCAGTGACTTCAGAGACATAGATCCTGGCCTAAATGCTTCCTCTTCTCCTTAGAAGGCTTTTCTTGTTTCCCTCAGCTAGCTTTCAGCATTTGATTTAGATTTAAAGATTTAATTTCTCTATAGACTATAGCCTTAAAGTCTTTGAGTAATGTGATTCATTATGTCTTGAGCCAGCAGTTTCATTTCTTGAAGCAGCTATTCCTGTACCTTTTTTAGGTTATTCATATGGACCCTCCTTTCTCTCACTTTGGCTAGTCTATTTTTTTGTGTGTAATATTTTATAATTTTCTTCTGGATTTATATACATTGTATTTGATTCTCACCACATCTCCATGGAGAGGATAGGACAGGTTTTATCCCATTTTGCAAATGAGGAGGCTGAAGCTCGAAGAGGTTTGTGGTTTGCCTGGAACTGATTAACTTGTGGAGGTTAGGGCTTAGTGGAAGCCTGGCCAGTATTCTTGGCACAATTAGAGAAAACTTCAGTTTTGTCCTTATGTTACTATTAACTGGAGAATATGGACAGGAGCTTTTTCAGTCTGCAGAGTCTCCGCACATACTTGTTTTTATTTTATTTGCATTTATGTAAATCTGACTTTCTGGAAATGGAAGTGCTCTTAGTCTGGGAAAATTAAGAAGACTGGTATAAATCAGATAATGATAGCTTTTGTGGCATTTGGCAAGCTTCTACAGACTTGTCCAAGAACCTTTCCATTTGACTTGAGTGCTGTTTTTTTTTCCTGTCATAAGAAAATTAATTCACCATGAACTACTGCCATCTCTATCTACAGTTATGGTTGACTTAATTTGGGACAAGGCCGAAGTTAGTATAACTGCTAGAGGGTACTATTCTCTTGACATAGTGGAGATGACTACTAGGTTTCCCCCATCTGTTTGATTAAATTTACATACTCAGACCCAGCTTCTCACTGACATTCCTAATTTCTTCTAAAGCCCTAAATTCATTATTCTTAAGTTAATTTTACTCTTTTCTTCTTGGAAATTCCATTATATACTATCTACCTCAAATTTTTTAAGGAATAAATCCTATCTCTCTTACAGAAATTCTATTTACCATTAAATGGGTCTTTAAATCTTATAGGGGTCAAGCAGTTGTATACATTTCTTTTCTCCTTTCTACTGGTAAGACCGTGGCCAGGTCTCATTCAATATTCTGTCAGCATTGAAGCTTTATATGAGCATCCTCAGTATAAACAAAGGGTGATATTTTGTGATAAGCATATCATCTAGGGAAGGGCAAAAATATTTTGAATTCTGTATCTAATACACATGTAGATCTAGATTGCTTAACATCAGAGTTGCCACTTTTTAAAAATTTAATTATTATGAAAAAAAATTAAACATACACAAAAGTGTAGAGAATAGTATAATGAACACCCATGTACTTCTCACCTGCCTTCAGTAATTATCAATATATGGCCAATCTTGTTCCAAGCGTGTACGTTCTCTCCCCTCTCCCTCTCCAGATTTTTTCAAAACAAATCCAAGACATATTTTATCTGTAAATATATCAATATACATTTCTAAGAATCAGGGGTTCCCTTTTTTTCATCTTAACCACAAAACATAATAATTCCTAAATAATAGCATCAAATATCAAGTCAGTTTTCAGATTTCCTTGGTTGTATCTCTCGCCTCTGTTTTTAACTATTTGGTTTACTAGAAAATGGTTCCAGACACGGTTCACACATTGCTTTTGGTGGATGTATTCTTAAGCCTCTTTTAATCTGTAGATTCCTCTTGTTTCTTATAGTTTTCTTTTTGTTGTTGTTTTTATTGTCATTGAAAAAAATGTAGTCATTTGTCCTGCAGAAGTTCCTATATACTGGATTTTGCTGATTATTTCACTGTAGTGTTGTTTAACATGTTCTTCTGTCCCCTGTATTTTCTATAAACTGGTGATTCAATCAAAACCAGTTTTGTTTTCTTTGTCCAGAATACTTTAGAGGTGAGTTGTGTGCTTCCTATTGCCTTGCATCGGTAGGCAGTGTCTGGGATATTAGGGATATTAGGATTGATCAGTGTAGTTCAGGGACCTTCAGCCTGATTTGTTCATTTTAAAGTTCTCAGTATTTTTCTCCTAGATTTTGTCAACCCAATAGTAATTATTTCTTAGATCCATTACTTCAGTGGGGTTACAAATGTACCTAATGCTATCATTTCTTCTTCATTTATTAGCTGGAATTCTTCTTTAAAAAGCCTGCCACCAACCATTGGGTTATCCTGAGGTACATTTCATAAAGGAAGGACAGGACTAATACTTGATTCTTTTATTTACTAGTTTTCAGAATAATGAATTGGTTCCCTAATATTTTTCAAAGGGGACTAACTAGTTAGTTTTCTCTTTTTAAAAAATATAATTATGAATTCATGGATTTAACATTTTATGTCTTTCAATCATTGCAATTCAGAATTGTCCCATTTTTGGCTAGCAGGACTTCCTTCAAGTTGGATCTTAATTTTTTTTGACAAGACTAGACTGTAGTGATCTTTGCTAGCATCCTTCCTTTTTGGTACAACATTGTATACCTGCTCATTCTGTATATTTCATGCTCCAGAGCTGGAATCAGCCATTTTTCCATTAAGCCCTGATTCCTATTAATGAGAAATGGTATTTAGAGACCACAGTCTAGATACTTATACATGCCTGTTGCAATTGGGTTGGTTATTGTTTTAAATTCTTTTCAAGTGGATGGGTTCAGGATGTGCATTTTTTAAGAGAAAATATATCATGGTTCAGATTAATATTTTCAATTCAAATGTGTGATAACAGAATTGCTAATAACCTCTTTGATTTTATATATTCATCCCTTTGCTCTTATGCACTTTTTAATATATGTAGATAAAATGATACTATTGGGATTTACATGAAAATAATTCAGTATATGTACATGGGAAGGGAAGAGGGTGTGTGTGTTGCACAAGAGGGTTCAGAGGGGTTGGTAACAGATGAAACTAGATTAGCTGTGAATTGATAATTGTTCATTCTGGGTGATGGGTAGGTATATGAGCTCATTATATTATTTTCTCTCCTTTTAAGTATGTTTCAAATTTTTAATAATAAAACGATTTGCATTTTTATTAGGATCATGTTAAATTTATAGAATTATTTAGGGAGAAATGAATTTGCTTTTTTTAAATCAATAGTATTCATTCAAATTTACTATCTGTAAAGATTCTTCTTTTTTTTTCCCAGTGGCTGCATATCAGTCAGTAAGATGACTGTACCATGATTTATTGAATTGTTCATTTATTAATGGACAAACAGATTGTTTTCAGTTTTTCTCTGTAACAAATAACTTTGTGATATATACTCTGAGTTATAATTTGGTGGATCAAACGTGCGTCTATTTACCATGTTAATCACTCTTTTCTCCATACTTTTGCAAGCTTTGTATTTATCTTCTCAAATTTTGTTAATTGATACCTTAGATTTACATTTTTAAAGATTTAAAATTTTTAAATCATTGCCAATATCATAAATCCAGTTTAACTGATTTTCTTTCAAAACGCTTTTATGATGGTGGAAGTTGTTTACAAATAATATTCCAATATTATCGTAGGTATATTTTTGACACTCAAAATATTGATTTTTGAAAAAAAATTATTGGAATGCTAATAAAAGTTATTAGGTACTCTCATAGGATTATAAAAATCATTGTTCTTGATTAGCATTTATTTACATTTGCTGAGGATGTAGAGAACAATAAATTCCCCTAACATAAAAAAATATAAAGATAACTACCAATTTATGCTGTGGGGAAACTGCATTTTTAAAGAAGATACAAAGTTGAAAGGTTCCCGACTTCCCTGTACTTTTTCAATTCTTAGATTCCTAGAGTACTCTTTAATATTTTATTTTAAATTGTGCTTAAGTAATTTAAGAATGTATTGCTTCTTCAAAAGTCAATCAACTGTCTGTCATTGAGGTGATGTTATCAATGGTATTAATTCCAAATGTACACTACAAAATTTTGAGAATAGATTGGGATACTTAAATTTCCTTGAGATATAGGAGCCAGTTTCCATTCTTTGGGAGGTAGAACTGCAGTGGTGTAACTCTGCTCTTCTCAAAAATTACTGGTATTTTACCTAGGCAGTAAGGAGCCTTCTGGGTAGAACAGCACTGTGAAGTGGGAAAAGAACACTTTGGAGTCAGATAGACTTAGATTTGAAAAACAGCTTTAAGAAGTTAACATTTAAACTCTCTGAGCCTCAGCTTCCTCATTCGTAAAACAGGAATAACAACTTTTGTTTAGGGTGTTGTGAGGATTAAATATTACAATCATGAATGTAAATACACAGGCTAAATAGATTCATTTTTTTATCTACCACTATAAGTTATTGAGTGTTTAATATCATTTATGTTCATAATAATAATTTGCATTTATTGAGTACCTACTATGTGTCAGACAGTATTCTAGACACTTTACATGGATCTTGTTTAATCTTCACACATCACTGTGAGGTAAGTATTATTGGCCCCATTTTATAAGGAAACCATGACACAGAAAAATTAAGTAGTTTGTATGGAAATACGTATTAGGCAGTAATGGAGAATTACTGCTCTGGGCAGATATATTTTATATCTTTTTAAATAATCAACACCGTTTTTTGTTATGACATCAGAAACAAAGGGAAACATGATGACATAATGAGTTCAAAACTTTGGTTATTTTAAAATTTCTCTGAAACATGAATGCATTATTTTAATAGATTCTCTTTTCTTGAGTGAATCATGATATATTTCTTGGAATTTCAGTCAAAACATTTTTAATGATAAATGAATAATTCCCCATCTTATCTCATGACATAGTTTTAGTACCATATTCAAAAGTGTTTATTTGATTTCCAAAGGGTCGGAATCTGGCGGATCTACGCCGTAGCCAGTCCCGGGGCACATTCACCATTAGCACTACTCTTCGGCTGGGTAGACAGATTCTGGAGTCTATTGAGAGCATCCATTCTGTGGGATTCTTGCACCGAGACATCAAACCGGTAAGAGGGCCTTTTCCAGCCAGAGCACAGAATGAGTTTGCTTGGTACTCTTAGTCTTATGATGGTACACAATAAATTACAAATGTAGCTTTCTATATTTGCTTTCTATATTAAATACAAGGTGATATATCAATTTCTGTACAAAAATGTAACTGGAAGCAAAATGCAACTTGCATCTTAATTTTTTTTAAAAATGGTAATTTCAAACTACAACTTATATTCAAGAGCTTTTCTCTTACACTGCAAATGTTACTTGGCAACCAAATTAAAAATAGTTAATGCTTGACTTATTATTATGTGTGTTAACATCGCTAATTATTTAGCCTTATACCTAAATTGGTAGTTATTCTTTGGATTTATTTTTCTTGATATTGGTTAAAAATATACACATATATTGCTTTTAGATATTGGCATAGTATTCTTTGTACTATTTCTCAAGTGACGAATTATACTTATAAGAAACCATCAGTTGTGAAAGACTATATTTTTTCTCCTGAGTGCTGTATTGGCAATAAACAGTATTTTTTTCCTATTGTTTTTCTTAGAAATTCTCATTTTCATAACTGAGAAGTATGCTTTTATTTCTTCTCAGTTTTTTTATTGCTCACAAGGGGAAATGACCCATTTTTGATATATTGTATTTACTATAAATTTATCATACGTTGGTTGGTGCAATTGAAAATTACACCAGTCCGTTGCTATATGATTTCTAAAATTAAATAGTTTACATGAAAATGCCAACTAAAATTAACATAGTAGAGTCAGACTTAATGTAATGTAGATTTCTACAGCTCTTATTTTCATGCCAAACTAAATGCCATTATTTGAGAACGAACCACGATGATTGAAGAGGTTCCATTTTCACCAGACAGTTCCCTAAGTAGAAATAGTATCTTAAAATAAAAGCTAACAATTCTGTAACAATTTGGCTTTAGCTTTTATAAATTCTCTTGTTTATATACCCATCTTTGCAAGTTTGCAGTCATGTAATGTTACCTTTATTTTTATTAAGGGAAGAATGCAAAGTATATTTTCTTTAAGTCTGTTTTGAAACATTTCCTTAAATCGTATTTTAATTTTTACACTTAGTAAAATTCAGTTTTATGATATTTGTAGGATATTCATTTAAATTTTTGAGCTGTATATTAGATTTTGCTCACTCCTAGTTTCTCCCATTAAAAAATAGGGATTGGGTTTTCATTTAAGCAGTGACTTAAGAATTTCAGGAAACTTAAGAGTTCTGATTCCAGTTAAGTTAGTCTTGGCGTGACTTTATACAGTTGCTTAAATTCTTTGTTGCTCCTTTGTTCATCTAATGTTAGGCATTAGTAGAGCCCACATTGGAATTATGTATTTGATATCCAGTAATTATCATTGAGTAGAATAGTATATTTGAGACATGTGTGTTATATAAAGTTTAAATAGAAGAATTAAAATATAGGAAGGGTAAGATGTAAAGACTAATTATTATAAGAAATGTATATTTTTCTTCTTTATTTTTCTAGTCAAACTTTGCCATGGGTCGCTTTCCTAGTACATGTAGGAAATGTTATATGCTTGATTTTGGCTTGGCTCGACAGTTTACCAATTCCTGTGGTGATGTCAGACCAGTAAGTTTTTTTAAATATTATTATTAAATATTTGAGAATTAACCTACTATTTATAGTATCATTCCTTTAAAAGAAATTCTAATTATGTATCAGAATAGATGTCCTTCAAGAAGTAACAAAATAGATTTATGATTAAATTATAGAATGGAGTTAATTTTATTATTGAAAGTTGTGGCTCTAAAAAAAGTACATTATATGCAGATTTAGAGTTGACTTATAGTAAGAACACACATTAACCCTTTAGGATCAGGGGTCTTTTTTGCAATCTGAGGCTCTTTCTACATTCTGCAATTCTTTTATTTGTTATTATACTTTTCACATCCATAATTTCTGTTTTTAAACATTCTCTTAATTGATATTCTCTATTTGATACATTATCATAGTTTCTTTACTTCTTTAATCAAGTATTTGTTTAGTTCTGTGAACATGTTTCGTAATGGCTACTTTTAAATCTTTTACTGTTAAATCCAACATCTAGTCACTCTCACAGGTAGTTTCTGTTACCTGCTGATTTTTTTTTCTTTTTCATTTATGGGTCATACTTTCCTGTTTCTTTGCATGCCTTATAATTTTTGTTAGAAACAGGACATTTTAGATAATATATTGTAACAGTTCTGGGTACTGGTTTTCCCCTTCCAGGGCTTGTTATTGTTATTTGCTTTTTTATTTGTTCAGTGACAACAGGATTAGTTTAGTGGTCTATTCTCCTCACGACCCACCCCCAACACATAGTGTTAAGCTCCACTAATTGATTGATGGTTGATGCTCTATTGTTTACAACTGTGCCCTAAGGCACAAATTCCTTGATAAACTAATCTAATTAAGTTGTGCCTCCTAAAATGAAATAGTTTCTCTTTGCTCAAACTGCAGGAGGGCTGCTCCCATCTGTCTTATTCCTCTGGTTCTCCCCTGTTGGGTCTACAGTCTAGGCTATATCTTCATTAGGTCTACCAAGATCCTTTCAATTCCCTTTATCACAACCTCCACTATTTTTTTTTAATTAAGTTTATTAGGGTAACATTGGTTAATACAATTATATAATTTTCAGGTGTACATTATATTTGACATCTGTATATTCTATTGTATGTTTATCACCCAAAGTCCTGTTTCCTTCAGCTACCATATATTTGATCCCCTTTACCCACTTCACCCTCCCCTATCCCTCTATATATGACCCCCTTTACACTGTCTACCTCCCCGCTCCTCCCCGACCCCCTACCCTCTGGTAACCACTAGTCTATAGTCCATGTCCATGAGTCTCTGTTTGTCCTGTCCTTTGTTGCTTTTAGATTTATATCTCACATATAAGTGATATCATGTGATTATCCACTTTTTCTGGCTTATTTCACTTAGCGTGATTATCTCGAGGTCCATCCCTGTCGTCACAAATGGCAGTATTTCATCTCTTCTTATGGCTGAATAATATTCCACTGTGGAATATTATGTACCACAGCTTCTTTAGCTAATCATCTATTGTAGAACACTTCGGTTGCTTCCATGTCCTGGCCACTGTGAATAATGCTGCTGTGAACATCGGTGTGCAAATATCTTTTCGAATATGAGTTTTCAAGTCTTTGGGGGTAAATACCCAGTAGAAGGATTGCTAGATCATATAATAGATCAATTCTTAGTTTTTCGAAGAACCTCCATACTGTTTTCTATAGTGGCTGTACCAACCTCCACTATTTTTGAGAGGAGTTTTAGGTTAACTTAACTGTTGCAAATGAAATAATTTCCTTTAGGAAAAGATTAGGATGTATTTTTTTTTTTCTTCTATCCCTGGGGAAAATCTCTGAGCCAGGGCTCTGGAGTTGGGAATGAGGACTATGATATGCTGGTCTCTGAGTGACATACTCACATTAAGAGCTGAGCCCTGGCATTGAGTTGGGAACAGTAGTCTGAAGTCTCTCTATTTGCCTCTCCTGGAATGCAATTGTTGCCTCATGAGCCAGGAGAAGGACAGTTGGGACCCCAGTATTCTCAGCACACTATGCCCAAAGTAGAGGCTCCATTCCGTGAGAAAGCTAGGAGCTTCCACATCTCCACCTGCACTTTTCCAGAACTTAGCCTGCTCAGCAACAGGCAGCTGGGGGATGAGTGATGCTGAAATTCTGCTCCTATGGTAAGAAAGCCCTCTGGATGGGAAGTAGAGAAGAAGGGAGCTATCATGAGCAAGGAAAGCAGCTACCTTCAAAGTAACACTCTTAAATGCGTTTGTGTCTTTCCACAATGCCTGGTTTATTGAGTGGAACCTTCTCAAATAAACCAATCAGGTGTCCATGCAGGTTAATAGACAGCACACAGAGAGCAGAAGTACAGAGTCTTTCTTACATGACAGTGACGGGATGAAAGTCTTTACCGTCTCCAAAGTGAGCTCTGTTGACTGGTGGCATGGATAGGTTTCTCGTCAGTCCCAAGCCTGCTACAACAAGCAGAAGGTCAGGGTCTTCAGCTCTCAGCATATCTGTTAGTGATACTCTCTGTCAGGCTTGAGTATCATTTCTCTGAGGTGTTCAGCTAATATGGTCCTTACAGGGTGGAATCCTTATGCTTATCAGCTTCAGGAGTCCGGGGGTTATCAATGGCTGTTGTGGCTGAATGGCTAACATTTCTGTGATTTTGGGCATTCTGATCACACCCTAATGGTATTCCCATTATGCTCCAGTTGACATTACTGTCATAATTCCCATAAAATCCATTTTGTAAAGTTCAAAAAGTCTTTAATTCTTAAGGCTCTATTCAGGAGCCCTGTGTCTTGGCTGCAGCAGTCTGGAGTGGAGCCATCCTCACTGATCTGGAAGAGAGGAGGGATGGAGCAGTTTTGGTTCAGATACCACAGACTCTAGCCTTTTTTACTGAATTTTCATAGGTTTTCTTGAATAGATGTTTCTTCATTTGTTGTTTGCCCCAAGGACCGTTTCTAGAGGCTTTAGTTATTTTTTAAAATAATTTTCACCAGTGTTACTGGGGAGCAGCTTGGTGGAGCTCCTCATGTTTTCGTAACGGTAGTTGGTCTCCCACTACAGTTATTACACTTACATCTACTTTTTACTTTTAGTTTTGTTTTAACTTGATACTGATTATGACTTTCATGTTTAGCAAATTAATTGCACAGAAGTTGGAACACTGGTTTTGAATGAGCTAATTATATAATAATAGAGTTGTATACATAAATGTAAATTATATTAAAACGTGGGCACATAAGCATTTAAGCACTAGAGAATCCTTTTGGTTTGAGTGAAGGTCTTGCATTAATAGGTAGCAAGGCAGGTGATGAATTTAGTTTCCGTTTAGCTTACTTTATTTGAATATATTTCTGGAATCTTATTTCTATTGCAGGTATCTTTTTTAGTTTTTAGAATATTATCAGGTTATTTTTTTTTCACTCATATAACATTTAATGAGCACATATTATATGTGAGGCATGGATGGAGGTGCTGAGACTACAGCGTGAACATGCAGACCAAAATGAGTATCTTATGGAGGTTAAATTTTAGTGGAGAAGACATCATACACAAATAAATATATAATTTTAAATAGTGATAAATGCTATGAAGAAACACAAAGCAGAGTGTTAACAGAGAGTGATAGGCAGTGAGGACGACAACTGTTTTAAAGGTATTAGAAAAGACTTCTCTAAAGACGTATTGAGTTGAGCATTGAATTAAGTATGAGAGCAAGCCATGTAAATATCTGGAATGAAAGTGTTCCAGGCAAAGGGAACAGCAAGTGCAAAGGCACTGAGGCAGCATAAATTTGGTGTGTTCAAGGAAAAGCAGGGAAGCCACTGTAGAAATAGCCTAGCCAAGCATAGCATAATAAGGGGGTAAGTGGAGAGAGACTAGGTTTAAGAGGTGGGTAGGCCCCAGATTATATATGATTTTGTAAAGAGATAGATTTTATTCTAAGTGTGAAAGGAAGCTTTTGGAAAATTTTGAGCATGGTTGTTGTATACTTGAGCTGTCAATTAGCCAACTATATAGTAGAGTTATATACAGAAGTAGATTAAAACACAACCACATGAGAATTTAATTGCCTGGAAATTGTGGGAAGACTATTTTTGGTTTTATCAGTGTTCTCGTGTTAATTGGTAGCTAGGCAGATAAAGAACTTAGGTTCTATGTCATTTATTGGATTTTAATATATTTCTGGAATCCCATTTCTATTCTAAATAACAGTTTTTAAGTTTTCAGAACATGTTTTTTAAAAAGTCACTCCGGCTATGAAGAAGAGACTATTGAGAGAAAGAGTGGAATCAGAAAGACAGTTTGGAAGACCTGTGTCATGGTCCAGTGATCACTGATGGTGGTAGAGACCTGGGGCTTTAGGGTGGTACAGTGAAGATGGTGAGAAATAATCATATTTAAGACTTATTTTAAAACAGATTTACTAAGACTTTTCTGGATTCAATATTAGGATATGAGAGGAAAAGAGTCAAGAATGACTTCAAAATTTTTGTCCTGAGTCAGTGGTCATGCTACTAAGTTTGGTTGGGGAAGGATGAGGAACAGGTTCGATGAGTGAAAAACAGCAGTTCTAGTTTCTAGAAGTTAAGTTTGAGATGCCGTTAGATTCCAGATGGAAATAACAAGAAGGTGATATTATATGGTGATCTGTTATCTCAAAGGAGAAATCAGAGCTGGAGATAATATAAATTTACTAATCATTTACTTGCAATGTTTAAAAATAAATGGTAATTTAAAAAAATAGAATAGGTTTGATCAGGTAGGGAGAAAGTATATATAGCTAGATAAGAAAAGAGGTTCTGAATCTGAGTCATTGGGAGCACTTTAGCAACTTGATGATAGATACAGAAGAACTATGAGTTAGCCAAGAAGAATGAGGGGGAGGATCAGTCAGCGAAGTAGGAGAAAAATCAGGAGAGTATGATATCTTGGGAACCAAGTGAAGAAAGTGTTTCAAGTTTTATGGGGTTGTCACCTGCATCAGATGCTACTGCTAGGTCAGATAAGGTGGAAACTGAGAACTGACCCTCTGGA